AAGAATTCCAACAGTGGGGGCCAGCTCTGTGGCCTAGTGGTTAAGTTCGGCATGCTCTGCTTCAGCAGCCCGGGTTCAGTTCCTGGGCGCAGACCTACACGGCTCATTGGTGGGCATGCTATGGTTGCGACCAGCATACAAAATAGAGGAAGACTCGCACACAAGTTAGCTCAGGGCGAATCTTCCTCACCAAAAAAAAAAAAGGAATTCTAACAGTGGAATGAATGCAACAGATGGGAGGGGAAACACCTGAGGTGGAGAGTGATGTGGGGGAAACCTGACAGAGAATAAATGCTGGTGGAAACACAGCCGGGGGATCTGCAAAACCAAAATGTCTCAGAAGGACGTTAAGAGCATGCCCTGCGCTGTCGCTCCTGGCGCTGGCCCAGAACACCTCCGGGGGGCCTACAGGGCTCACTAAAGCTTGCGGGGTAGATGGGAGCCACTGAGTTCTGTGTGCGGTGAGAGCTGAGGCACATGTGGATGCACAAGCTGGGGCTGAGAGGACAGATGGCACTGGGTGATGTGCCACCGCCTTCTCCTGTTCAGAGCCAGGGTGGGGGTGAGAGGAGAGAGGAGGAGGGTGGGGACAGGGCAGAGGCAGGCCCCAGGAGAGAGAAATGTTTCCTCCTCACTGCCAGGATGTGACGAAATGCTCACCACCTGCCCGGGCACACCTCCAGGTCCAGCAACCCACCCCTCCTCATGGGCACTGGCCCCCCGTACCCCAGGGGGTGATTGCAGCTGCCCCTGCAGAGGGGATGTGGGGCTTCCCAGGAAGCTGGGCGGGCGTCCTGTCTCCCACCGAGTGCCCACCCTGAGCCTCTCTTCAGCCACGACTCCACGGGCGAGGGCTGAGTGGTGGACGGGGGAGCAGAACTGATGGCAGCTCTTAAGGGAGCAATGGACCAGTTCTCGGGGCCACCGCAGAGTCCTAGAAGCGTCAAGGAGGGTGGTGGGAAAAAGGCCAGCTGAGATGATAAAGTGCCTGAATGAGAACACATGCACACAGCTCTTAAAGGGTCTGAGCGCCTCCCCTCCCCCCAACCTTGGGGGAACCAGGCTACGGGGCCACGGCAGAGTCCTTGAAGTGTCCAGGAGGGTGGTGGGAAAAAGGCCAGCTGAGATGATAAGTTGACTTAATGAGAATAGCTCTCTTGATAAGGCGCAGGAGCATTTGACAGTTTGGGGAGTGTGCCCCACACACGAGCACACACAATACACCCACGCACACAGCGCTTAAAGGGTCTGAGCCCCTCGCCTCCCCCTAACCTTGGGGGACCTGTGCGAGAGGTCATTTGGGGGCAAGCACCCTCCTGCACCCCAAAACCGCTGGATTTCTGCCAGGGCAGGAAAGCCACATTTATACCTTTAGTATCTATTGTTTGGTAGTGGAAATTTTTATGTTTTCTATTTTTGTTTTTAGAAACAGGCGTTCTACCTCAGAACGACGCATCGGAGTGATGTGGCAGTTTAAAGTTTTCTCGGTTTTACCAGACGTGAAACTAAAATGCTAATCTGGCCTGTTCAGTACCAGACACTGGCAAAGCTGTCTGTGACAGCCTACACGCTACCCTTCTCCCACCTGCCCGGAAACTGCCAACTCAGGGAACTTTCTAGAACTTTCCTTGTCTTTGAAGAGCTTCAGACGAAAGTGCGGGAAGTCTCTCATGGGGAGAGATACACGCTTGAGGGGGGAAGTCGGGGGTTTTCTAGGTAGACAACTGGTGTGGGAGAGTGCTGCGTCTGCGTTCACCCTGGTATGGACTTGGAATGTGTGTAATGGAGGGGCCATGAGTGAGCACAGCTGTCTACATGGCATGACGAGCAGGCAAGCAAATGGGCAGATGTGCAGAAAGGGGGCCAGGGAAGGTGGGAGCAAGTCCTGACCCCCTGAGGCTGGCTGTGCTGCTGCCCTGGGGTTCTGGGGACCTAAGGTTATAGAATAACTCCTCCTGGCTTTCTCCTCCAGCTGGAGTTGGTGTCTTAGTCAGCTCGGGCTACTAGAGCAAAACCCTGCAGACTGAGAGTGATTCAACCAACAGACATTCGTTCTCTCAAGTTCTGGAGGCTGGAAGGCCGAGATTAAGGTGTCTCGGGGCTTGTTCCTCCTGAGGCCTCTCTCCCTGTAGACGGAGTCTTCTCCCTGTGTCCTCGCATGGTCATCCCTCTGTGTGTGTCTGTGACCTCGTCTCCTCTTCTCATAACGACCCCAGACAGACTGGATTAAGGCCCACTCTTTTGACTTCATTTTAATTTAATTACCTTTCTAAAGAACTTATCTCCAAACAAGGTCACCTTCTGAGGTATTGGGGGTTAGGACGTCAACGTACGAATTTGAAGGAGACACAGTGCAGCCCGAAAGAGCCGGCGTCTGTTACTTTCAGCCAAGGAGCCCTAATAGAAACAAATTATCAAAGGTCGGCTGTCAGGATTATTTGCTGTTATGGGAGACCAGTCAATTCTGCTATAATTAGTAAGAAAACAAACGGGACACGTGAAACTGAAAACGTGTCGATTACAGATAGCGGCAACAAACTTGTAGCTTGTGAGATTTGCGTGACATTCATAAAATGTGTTAAAAGTAGACAGTGAGTTGGGAACCTGTAGGATGTGTGATTTGATAAAGAAGGTGGAAGAGAGAAATGTTATCATAGAGAGCATGTCCAAGCTGACAGCTCTGTCTTCTCTAAATCAGGCACCCATTGGTGACCCTTGTTGTGGCCTAAATCGAGCCCCATGTGTCAGCCTGGAAACATGGACTAAAAGCACGGCTGCTCTGTGGGTCACCGTGGGCCTCAGCTGGGTGGGCAGTGTGTGCCCTGAGTCTCCCCAGTGAAGCCTGAGGGTGTGGCGGCCCCAGGCACCATCCATGTCCTGGCCACTTGCTGACACGCCAGTTCCAGTCCTCATTACCACGCATTGGTGAAAGGGCCCAGAGCAGGACAGGACATGTGAACACCTCATGACCCAGGATCCAGGCGTGTGGTCCTTCCACCCACGTGCACCCCATGCGAAGTGTTAAGCTACTGCTTCTCCTGCCCCTCCATCTTCACCTCGTGTTGTAGATGGACTTCATAAACTCTGTGGCTCGAGCACCTTAATTTGATCAGCGAGCCCTTCCTGCTCCGTGGCTGGTAGTGTACTTGGGGGTTACCATTGCTTCAAGACGATTTCCCACCAAACAACAGGGTTCTGTTCACTGCATGTTGATCTAAGGACCAGACCAGGAACCAATTCTTAAAGCCAAGTTGCGGCTTAAGATCATATTTGTAGGGTCACTGGGAGGGACGTTGTTAGCCTAAGAAAACTCCCTCGCCTTTCTACAGAAGTGTGGCGAGGGGCGGTTCGTGGAAATATTCGATGCTTGTGAGGCTGATAGGGAACATCAATGGCTATTAGGAAACAGTGGGGTCTTTGATCCAAATGTCAATGGCTATTAGGAAACAGTCACCCATTTAAAGGTCCAAGCAGACGGAAGATTATAGCCATTAACAGAAAGATAAACAGTATTATTTTAAAGCTATTTCTTAATTGTTCCTTTCAATCTTAATATTGCCCTGAGCTGTAAATTTTGGGACTAGCAAACAGATTAAATTAGGCAAAAATCACATATACCTACGTACATAGGTGGGATAATGACGATGAGTGAACCTAGTAAGTAGAGATCTTCTGTTCTAAAGGCAAACACTGAAGGGACATTTCTATATATAATCTGATCCAGTTCATCAGTGTTGAGAATTCAGAAAGGCTGAGAGTTGACCCTACTTGCAAGCTCATAGTTTCATGGATGCTGGCAGGAGACAGGAGACTCCTGGATCAGAGATAAAGGACCTTATTGCTCATAGTACAGAAGCAGCTTGAGCATTAGCACATTTGTGTCAGTTCCCTTTGCCCCTAAGTCCTCCTGGCATGACACAGAGGGGCTCAGACGGATGCTAGCACACACAGTGGGTTGCGTTACAGGAGAGGAACCCTGAGCTCTTAGGAGACTGCAATGTTTTAAGAGGCAGTAAGCTTGCCTGCCCTCTGCTCCAGAGGGAGACACCATATCTACCTTCCAAGGTTGTTTGCTGCACAAACATCTCTGACCAGCTAGTTGGGAAGAAAGGACTGTTTTGATGGCCTCCTGGTCATCTCATTGGTGAGGGAGGGATTTCCACCCAGGGTTGTGAGGATGGCCAAACACGTGCCACCCACCCAACACTGGACAGCTGGGATCAACAGTCATCAAAGCCTGAGAGAGGAGACACCATAGGCCCTGCAGGGTCACCTGGGGGCTGAGCTCGGGGACACAGTGAGCCAGCAAGGGGCTGTGGGGGGAGGCTTTGTAGTATCAAGAGGGTAGGGTGCCCCTGGTTCCTGCAGGAGGACGTGATTGGCTTGTTTGACTAATTCTGTGGGTGGGCAGGGAACCAAAATTAGCTACTCAGAGATAAGCGGACCTGTGCCTGGCCCCTCGATAAGGAGGGTTGTTCAGTGGGGGCTTTATCTGTGGGAGCAGAGTGGGGAGGGGAACTTGTGGCTGGGCCCTTCGAGGTCCTCTCAGTTGCACCAGATGTCAAGGCAGCATGTAACACTGAACCTTAACTTTGGGTCCCATACCATCAGGGCAGTTACAGGACATGCAGAAATGTGAGAGACTCCTGCAGAATTGTCTCCTGACAATCGGTATACTAAATACATCATTTTCATGACCAGATTACAGAATGGGGACAAAAAGCATTGAGGCCTACTTCTATAGCATTTCATTTATAAATAACGTAAACTACCATACACTCTACCTTTATTTTTAGAGAGTTTTAAGACTACACTACAGGCATAGGAAGATTTTTTTCCTAAAGGGCCAGATAGTAAATATTTTAGATTTTATGGGCCATATAGTCTCTGTGATAACTAATCAACTCTGCCATTGTAGTTTGACGGTAACCCTAGACAATATGGAAATGAATGGGCATGGCTGTGTTTTAAGAAAGTTTTATTTAAAAAACAGGCAATGAGCCCACGGGCCGGAGTTTGCCAACTCCTACTATGACATATCATTTTCCCTTGACAAGTGGTAACCTAAACGGCTTAAATAGTTTGAAGTTTTAAGATTGGCCAGCCCCCACTCAGACACAAAAGAGATACAAAAGAGACATCTTACAGTAACGTAAATCTTGACTAAATTCTTTCAAAGAAGCCCGAGGAGGAATTACATTGCACAACACGTTGAAAAAATGCTAAAAATCTATGTCCGTCCAATTATATCCCCAAATATAACTCATAAGACATCTCTAATTCCGTCCTCTCCCAGACTCTGTATCAAGATTCTCATCAATGTCGGTTCATTTGTTTATTTCTTTTCCTAGCTTTGGCCACGTTCTTTACTCTGTAGGTAAATTTAGTCCGGGGCGTTAGAAAAGGTTCTATCACTTACCCACTCTATTGATCAGCACAGCCAAACTCTAGGAACCTGGAAAGCTGGGCTGGAAACTGAATTTGTACATGGTTCAGCCTTCCTTCTACGTTTAGGGACACCAGGCATATAAATGTCGGAAATAGGAGTGCTTTTTCGGGGCCGGCTCTGTGGCTGAGTGGTTAGATTCATGTGCTCCGCTTTGGTGGCCCAGGGTTTTGCCGGTTTGGATCCTGGGCACGGACATGGCACGGTTCATCAGGCCATGCTGAAGCAGCATCCCACATGCCACAACTAGAAAGACCTACAACTAGAATGTACAACTATCTCTGGTGGCTTTGGGGAGGATAAGAAGCAAAAAACAAAAAAAGAAAGATTGGTAACAGATGTTAGCTCAGGTGCCAATCTTTATTAAAAAAAAATACTTTTTCCCCTGACGACACCATAAAAATGAGAGAGCACCCTACTCAGCTTTCAGGAGGCGTGTGAGATCTCAGAGAGCATTTAAAAGCCCTCATTCCAGCCCTCCGTGTACAGATGAGGAAACCATCAACAGGAGGCACGAAGAGGCCCACCTTTTTTATTTGCATGCATCCAAGTCTAGATATCACTTAATGGATTCCAAAAGGTAATCGGGGTAATGGGCAAGACTCAGTGGCAGATTCCTATTCCCCACCTCCTGGAGTGTAAGTAATCCACTTCCCCACCCCACTGCCCTTGTTAAGTGAGTTCACGCTGTGTGGACACTGTGTTAGGTTCTGGGGATACAAGACGAATGAGGCCTAAGTTCAGCCCTGCATCTCACCCTGTGCTTCCTTGCTGTGTTATTTGGGCAAACCATTTTACCCATACAAAGGGCAAAGTGGTGGTGATAATTTGAGCCCTTCCTTTGGATTTTTGTAAGGATTCGATGAGATACAGCCTGTAAAATCCTCAGACTATCAGCTGGTGCAAGGCTAGTGTGCGGTAACTGTGAGCTGTTATCTTTGGTACAGTTAATAAAGGAACCAGAAAAGTAAAAATTCACTTAAAATGCAGATGTGGCTATAAGTATTGTGAATCAGGCGAATAAAGGGTGCAAGGGGGAGGGGTGAAGGGCACCCATCTTCGCTCTGGGGGCAATAAAGGAAGGCTTCCTGGAAGAAGTGACTCTTGGGTTAAGAAGTGATGGATGGACAGGAGTCAGTAAGGCAAAGAGTGGGGGAGGAGCACTACAGAGAGAGGGGACACACAGACAAAGATCAGAGTGTGTTTAGAGAAGGGCAAGATGCTTACATTAGGAGGGAGACCGAGCCAGAGAAGAAGGAGGGGTGTGTGGGGTCCAGCTCATAAAGAGTCTTCCTTTCCATCCCCAGGAGTCTGGTCTTTATCCCACTGGCTGAGAGGAGCGAGGGAGTGTCAGGGGAGTGACCTATGTAGAGTTTCATTGTAGAAAGATAATTAAGGCACCAGACTTTTGTCTGAGTGGGGAGACCAGATAGGAGACAGTTGTAGCAAACCAAATGAGAAAGCACAAGGACCAGACTGGGTTCTCAACCTAAATGCTCACAGAGGCCAAGCAGGGGCCATAAGTGAATAAATCCCGCCAGGTGGGAACTGGCCGCAGAACCTGGAGAGCGCACGCCCTGTTGTCCAGGACTGCTGCAACGTCAGCCTGAAGAGCTTCCTCTAAAATTCTAGGGAGAACAGGTTTGTAAGTGGCACATTCTCTCCCTTTTTGTCTAAAAAAAAAAAAGGTATTTTGAAATCTTTGTACTTTCTGCTCAATATTGATGTGAACCTAGAACTGCGATAAAAAAATTAAATCTATTTTTAAAGGGTATTTTGCTTTTATTTTTGCAGGATATTTTCACTGAGCATAGAATTCTGAGTTGACGAGGTTTTCTTTTCCTTTTGGCTCTTTAAGACTGTCAGTCCACTAGCTCCTGGCTTGCATAGTTTTGGATGGGAAGTCACACGTCCTTCTTCTCGGGCTTTCTGTATGGACCGTGGTTTTTCCTCAGCTGCTGTAAGAATATTTTTTAATCACTTACATTCAACAATTTGATCGTGTCGTGCATTGGCGTGGTTTTCTTTGTATTTATCTTGATTGGAGTTTATAAAATCTTCTAGGATACGTGAGTTCATATTTTTCAAGTTTGCCAAAAAATTGTCTATGATTTCCTCAAATACTTTTTCTCTCCTCTCCTGCTGGTATACCAATTATGTGTAGGTTAGACTGCTTGACTTTGTCTCACAGGTCACTGAGGTTCTTTTCATTCTTTTCAGCCCCTTTTCTCCCTATGCATCATTTTAGAGTGATTACACTGCATTGGCTTCAAATAAACCAACCATTTCTTCTACAGTATTTAACCCAAAGCCCATGCAGTGAATTTTTCACTTTAGATATTGTATTTCTCACATCTAGAATTTCCACTTGGTTCACTTTTAGCTTCCATTTCTTTATTCACACTGTTTTTGGTTCCCTCATTATATTTTTATATTTTTCTTTAAATATTTGACCATTTTAGGCAGCTTTTGGGTCTTTTTATTCACCGATTTTTCTAATGATTATGGGTCACGTTTTTCCGCTTCTTCACACGTCTAGTAACTTTTGATTTTGTGCTGAACATCATGAATGCTATGTTGTGTGTCTGTATCTTGCTGTCTTCCTAAATAAAACGCTGACGTTTTTCCTGTTAGGAAGTTAAATTTACTTGCAGGTGAACTTGATTCCTTCAAGATTTGTTTCAAAGTTTTGCTAAAATGGGTACAGAGTGCCTTTGCTCTAGAAATAGACCAAGTCTACTCTTAATGGCGTATTGTGGACTGAATATCTGTGTCCCCCTAAAATTCGTATGTTGAAATCCTAATCCCCAGTGTGTTGGTATGTGGAAGTGGGGCCTTTGGAAAGTAATGGGGATTAAATGAGGTCATGAGGGTGGGGCCCCCATGATGGGACTTGTATCCTTATAACAAGAGACACCAGAGATCTCTTTCTCTACCATGTGGAGACACAACAAGAAGGTGGCCATCTGTAAGCCTGGAAGAGAGCTCTCAAGAGAACCTGACCACACTGGCACCCTGATCTTGTACTTCCAGCCCCAGAACTGGAGAAATAAATGCCTCTTTAAGCACCTCCACTCTGTGGGGGTTTTTTTTTTTTGAGGAAGATTGGCCCTGAGCTAACATCTGTTGCCAATCTTCCTCTATTTTTTTTTCCTCCCCAAAGCCCAGCACGTACTTGTATATCTTAGTTGTAAGTCATTCTAGCTCTTCCATATGGGACACCGCCACAGCATGGCTTAATGAGCAGTGTGTAGGTCCATGCCTAGGATCTGAACTGGTGAACCCCAGCCCCTGAAGCAGAGTGCATGAACTTAATCACTTGGCCATGAGGTTGGGCCCCCAGTCTGTGGTATTTTGTCATGGTGGCCCCAGCTGACTAAGACAAGGATGGCCTGTCTGTCTTCCTACTGAATGCTCGACGTGGTCAACCAGCTTTCTCCCTTCCAGCTGGTCAGGACACAAATGGTTCCAGCCCTGTGACAACCCCACCAGTTGTCTGGTTCGGTCTCCTCTGTGGCTGTTCTTTCCCCAGTAGCTGTTTCTGCCCAGCCCTGTGAGCATGGGCAGCTTAGTATTTGCCTGAAACTGCAAGGAGGCCCCCATTCTCTGGTCCTGTACCCTGAAAATCCACCGCCTCAGTGGCTTCCAATTCTAGTCCTTGTCTCCTCAGCCTGTGAGCCTACCATGCTCCGTGTGGCCTCTCCTTGGCTGCTGTCAACCCAACAGCTTCGCCAGACAGAAAGCAAGGGCAGTCGTGGGACTCCCCACACTGCTTCCCTCTCTGTCTGGCATTGCCTATTGCTCCACATCTGTAAATAGTTATTTCATACAGTACTAGGGATGCTCATGGCAGGTGGGATAGTCTGATACTAGTTACTCCACAGCAGTCAGAAGCACAAGTCCATACGGGTCATATTTGAGGACGCTCCCACTGTCGACTTCTGTTTTCTGTGCGAACTGATAGACAATATCTCAGTGCAGAATAGAAGTGATAAGCGGGTGGAGAAGGACAGCCACAGAGAAGATGTGCGATACCACTGTGGGCTGGCCTGGACCTGAGACCGTGCATGTGCAGTGGCGGCAATCCATGGCACGCTGAGGCAAGCTCGGCAGGTGAGTGGGGCTGGAGATGGTAAACAAATAAATGCCCCTGGTGGGCACAGAACAGTGGGAAGAGTGGAGGGAGTGGCGGCCACAGAAACGAGGCTGCAGAAGGACGGACGGAGGGAAGGCCAGACACAATGGCGCTCACGGAGGGAAAGCAGAGAGAGTAAGGGATGAGAGGGCTATAGGATTTCGAGAGCAGTGTGGCGGGAGTAACAGGAAATGTTGGATGCTTAGGACATTCTGAATGGAAGGGACATTTGCATGTCCTCTTTCTCAGGTGGAGCATGAGATCCGAGTGTGGTCAGGGGAGGAGGTGGCACAAATGGAGTAGGGATGGAAATTTCCAGAGATAAGGAGGAATAAAAACCTGAGTGACTATGAATTTGGATGAGACGTCCCCTGGAACGCTGAATGTTGCTAAGTCTTGGTGTGACGAGGAATACAGTGAACTCAGTGCTAGAATCCTTGACAAAGGAGACAGGCTGAAGGACAGTCGGTGACACAGGGCAGGGACGTTGGAAGTGGGACAGTGCAGAGCCTGCTTCTCCAGGGAGCATGGTTTTTGCATGAGAGTGAAGACATCAGGATGCACGGTCAAAGTCCAGCCCCGGCCTGAGCCCATGCGATGGGAGCACGGCTGCCCAATACAGCCGTAGAGGCTGTGCTATGTGAGCAGCTCCATATTCAGGCAGGGGGCCACTCATCCTGTAGACTCCTATCGCCATGATTTCCCACAGGTGGAAGTCACTTGTCTTAAAGAAAACGTGCCTTTCTCTGATTTGCACAAAAGCACTGTGTAGGTGGTTGGTCCCTTGGGTGGGGACCTGAGCGCCTCCCTCTGACGTGGATGCAAGGGAAGCATCTCAGGGAAGATGCAGGCTTCCACGAGGGCAAGGAGGGGTGGGAGGCTTAGGGATGGCAAGGAAGAGGAGCAGCCTCTCTGGCGTGGATCAGGTGGTTTCAGCGGGAATCCTGGAAGGGGCAGGATGGGGGCAGTGGGAAGGTGGGTCAGGTGGAGGAAGCAGAGAGGAGAGTGTGGATGGGGATCCAGGAGAGAATGGATAACGCAGGGCCCTCACGTCTCAGTGGTGACTAAGGGTGACAGGGGCGTGGCATGGGGAAAGTCGACTTTTCAAGGTTTTCAAAGATGGGGGCCCTATGGTTGTTCAGTGGGTAGATAGTCAGGGATCCAGTCTGGAGGGGCTAGAGCTGGGTCCGGCAGAAGCCTGCTCTCTGGGCCCTGAGGACCCAGGGTTTTGGATTCCATGCATCTTTGAGTCCTTGGCTGCTCAACCCATGACTTACAGACTGGCGAGCTCCCATAAGTCCTCCGGAGGGGGAGAACTTATGGTCTCCTCTCTGCTTCCTGCTGGTCTTCCCTCTCCTTCCATTGCGGGGGGGGGGGGGGCTCTCCCCTCTAGCTTCTCTCCTTTCTCTTTCTGTCCTATCCACAGACTCCCTTCCCTGGAGCATCTTACCCCCGGGCATGGGCTGGGTTACAGGTGCCATCTTTTAGGGAACACAGAAGAAAAAAAAAAACAAGGAGCGTCAGGGGTTTGCTGAGATGAACTTGGTAATTTACAGTCGCCCCAGGCTGCTCGTGTCCCGGGTCAGTCTGGCCTCCATGGAGAACAGGCTCCTTCCCGAGACGAAGACAAGGAGATGCAGACGAGGGGCTCGGAGAGGTCTCTGTGCAGCCCTGGAGGAGGTCCCCCTTCTATGCCGCCAGCTGGTGGGATCATTTTCCCCAGTAGCCTTCAGCCCAATATTTTACAAAATTCCTGCAGTAGCCACATACTTTATCAGGAAAAATAGATGACTTATGCCTTCCCGGGTGTGAGCCTGTGAGGGCCCAGCGTCAGACGTGCACGTGGCCAGTTTTCCACGTCGGCATCCTGGCATGACCACTCCCTGCCCGGGGCAGGGGGAGGCCACGCTGGCGGGCAGGGAGCATGGCACCCCAGCCCGGAAGCTTCGCCTGCTCCGCACGGCTACTGGGTCTGTGCTCGGCCTCCCGGCTGAGCTATCTCAACAGCTCTCCTGACAAAGGATCCGAAGACTGGTGCCATGGGGGAGAAAGGTTATCTGTGCTTGCTGAGCAAACAGAGAGGAGATTATAAAGCCCCCTGGCAGTGGGAGCTGTGCATTCTGCAGGCGGCCTTGGGGTGCAGCTGAGTGTGGACATGGGACCTCAAGCCGCGCGTCTCCTGGCAGCGCTCCTCGTCCTGGGGCTGTGTGCCCTGGCCATGGCCCAGAAACCCTGTAAGTGCATGCCTGTAACCAGCCCACCAAGGCTCAGTGTCCTCAACTGGCAAGGGAGCATTTGGGCCAGTGAGCCCCGAGAAACTTCTAATGTCCCCAGACGCAATGGGGGCATGCAAGTTCCTTGCCTTCTGCAGGACCTCCCTCGGCCCTCGGTGGTGGGTCTCCATTCCTGTTTGTTTCCATCGGAGTGAAAAGGTGGAACGATGAGTTAACTTGAGAGGGGAGGCAGCAAAAATGGCATCCTGAGATTTGTGACGTTGGCCACATGCCAGCTCCGTGTACATTCACCCTGCCTTTCCCACCGTTTGGGGAGGACACCCAGTGCTCCGTGAGACCTCCAAGGAAGGCCTCCTTTGGGAGAATGTCGGGATGACCACAGATGGGCCAGCTTGAGGAGAGGGGCTGGGGCCGGAGTCCCTCGTCTTGCTCACCTTCTATCTTGACCTTTTCCTGGGGCCATCTGGCCATCTGTGCACCCTCTTTCCAGAAGGTTTCTCTTTTGTTTTTTACTAATAAAATAATTTCAGCAAAGCCCTTTCAGTTCCTCAGAAGGATGTTGCATAGCTCAAACACGGGCAAGACGAGACTTGGCAGTTTCCCGTGTGGCAGCAGGACCGATGGAGGCGTCCGGAACGTGTCCCGGGAGCAGGTGGGGAGCGAGTGTGGGGAGTGGCTGACAGAGGGTCTTTCCGCAGCCCCCTGCCGGTGCTCGCGCATCGAACCCAATGAGAGGGACAACTGTGGCTTCCCGGGCATCACAAGTGACCAGTGCTTTGCCTCTGGCTGCTGCTTCAACTCCAGCATCCGCGGGGTTCCCTGGTGTTTCACGCCCCTCCCGAAGCAAGGTAACCTGCCGCAGGTGCCAGACCCTCTTCCCAGGCCCATGGCCAGAGTCCAGGACCCGCTCCATGGTGCTCGTGGACACTGGCCCAGGCAAGCCCACAGGGAAGAGAAAACGCGCCCCCTCAGCCCACGCCCATGCCTGGAGCCCCGGGGTCAGCTGTTTGCCCTTTCCACAGACGTTTGTGAGAACCCATCAGCTTTACTGTATTTGAGGGACAAGCAACTCTCAGGCCCCTCCCAGCTCCAAAAGTGTGACTTCTGAAGAAGTTTCTAAGGGGGAGATGAAGGCATTTTATAGGACGCCATTAACGTAACTGCCAACAGACCTCAAATGTGAAGAAATTAAGCTAAGACGTCTAGGCTTGTCTTTGGAAATTGAATTCTATGTCAGTGCATGTTATCGAGATAGAAAGTCATTGATTCCAAGGCATGCACAAAAGAAGGGGTTTGTGCGAAGCACACCGGTGTGTGTGGAGTCACGCCCACACCCCCAGAAGTCAGTCAGAGGCTCCCTGGACTCTGAGGAAACACGGCCAATGGTTGGTTGGTAGGCTGGTTATTAGGCTGGTTATTAGGCTGGTTATTAGACTGGTTATTAGGCTGGTTGTTAGGCTGGTTGTTAGCCAGGCTCTCCCTCTAGTGGAAGTATTATGGGGCTTCAATAGCTTGGCCAATGCTTTATATCCTTAAAGGACACTCACCAGCCTTTTCTCATCAAGTGGGCCACCCTATTTTACAGAGAGGCATACTAAGACCAGAGAGGCAAAATGATTTTCCCAAGGCCCCAGTCCTTCCGATTCTCTGATGCGTGACTTCTGTAGGGAGGAAGGGTTGGCCAACTGCTGACCAACCTTGGGTGTCACAGTCCTTGGGTGTCACAGTCCCAGAAGTCCCTCATGATACACTGAGGCTGTAAATCCAGCAGTTGTTCCCTTGGAAAGATGGGAATAGATGTTTCTAGTTAATCAGCTGGCTTAATCGAGTCTCCGTGTTGTTCCTTTCCCAAATCCGGGGGACGTGTGGCCAGAGTTGGAAGAGTGTGTCATGGAGGTCTCAGACCGCGAGAACTGTGGCTACCCGGGCATCAGTCCTGAAGAATGCGCATCTCGGAAGTGCTGCTTTTCCGATGACATCACTCAAGTGCCCTGGTGTTTCTTCCCTATCTCTGTGGAAGGTAACGTCCTGTAGGACCAACCCGCCTTCTGGTTCCTGGACCTGGGGGATTTCTCGGGGAAGGTGGGAGCTTGGGGGGGGGGCCGGGGGGAGGGGAGCTGTGTCGGGTCCTAAGCTGGACTCGATGCCTAAATGCCACCCAAGGCCAGGGTCCCAGAAGCCAGTGGGTGGCCATTTCAGGAAAAAGGTAGACAGAGGTGTGAACCTGCCTTTATCGTAAACCAGCTCTGAAGGCAAGTCCAGAATGTTCTCAACAATGGCAGCTTCTTTTCAACGATTTTTAAGCCTCCAGTGCTCCCGTGGTGCTGGTTGTAGAAAGCCCCTCGTTCTCAGCCCTGGATCCCAGCACAGCCTGGTGGCATTGCCCATTTTGCTGCAATTCAACCACCCTTGGAAGGTGCTACCAAACGCCATCGCTGTGCTGGGTGCCAGGACGGGGTCCAGAACAAAGCCCGTGTGGTCCCTTCTCTGGTGGACCTCACTGTTCTCGCACATGTGACCTCGAGTGACAGTTCTGTGCGCAGCGTCACGCTCTGGTGCCATCCCAGAGTGCCCAGTCCCCGTCCCCAACCCCCTTAGTTACAGGGTGTCTCCTGGCACTGAGTTTGGCGAGATCGAAGAAAGACCAGGTGTTTTCCAAAAAACGGGAGAGTGCTCTCATCCTTGAAGGACGCTTTCCTTCCCATTTTTAGTTTATCGGGGTTCTCCAAAGAGGGCGGCCTTCACTTTCAGAAATTCCCAAGTGGTTTTTCCTGTGACCTAAGGGTGTCCCTGGACAATCGACAGTTATTTGGGGAGAATGGGTCCTGGGAGGATACTGCAGCCCTGGGGGATGGTGCCCCAGGAGGACTGCTCCCTCCTCAGCAGGACTGAGGACCCATGGGCCTCTTAGCGCAGGCTCCCTCCGCTCCCTGGCGCTCCCACCAACCGTCTCGCTTTTAAAATTTCCAGACTGTCACTATTAAGAGGCAGTGGCTTCAGAGGACCCGCCAGGCTCCCTGGATGTTCTGAAACAAACGAAGAATTCTCACCATCGCATCAGTTTCATATTTCATGTTTCCTGAATCCCTGGGTTTTCTTAATCTGCTTTTTATCCTTTTCAAGGGATACGATTCAATACATATGATTTCTTCAAATAAAGAAAACCCTTAAAATCTGCTAAATTTCATTTTGCCTTTGTTGACGCAGAGGTGGCGATAGCAGTGTGCGTGTGTGAGAGGGTTTGTGTCCTTGTATGAGTGTGTGTGTAATTTTAATACTCTTTCACTTCCTGTGAGAGCAACAATTCTTCTCATAGGCTGCTCTAGCAGCAATGAAATATTGCACATAAGTGAATTCCAGACTCCGAAGTCACTCTGTAACTCCCGTACCCAATCATGTGTGTAAAAACTCAAATGACTTCAGCCCTAAAAACCTCTGGGCGTAACATACAATTTCAGAGTGCAATTACAGAATTGCTCCACGTTCACCAAATGTGTCACAGTCCGCTTGCTGTGAAGTGCAAGGCAACCTGTCACCTACCCCTGACGTGGGGAGGGAGGGGCATGGCTGGGGGAGCTCCGAATGCTCTCCCAGCTCTTTGCTTCCATGTTTGCACCCCTCTACCTGAGGGCAGCTGCAACAATAGGCAGCAATTGGAAGCTGGTCCAAGGAGGAAGCTGACAGCTTCCTTCAGGGCTGCACCAGCCTGTGGGCAGGTTATTGCATGAAGGATATTTTATGCGTCTGCAGGAGGGGCTCCTGGAGTTCTTTAGCTCTGGGTGGGAGTGCTGGGAGGATGACATTAGGCCAGCCTTTCTGCCACTTCTCCCTCCTCGTCCACTCCCCCTGAGCCCACTGGCTTGGCAGATGTGTCACCCAATGGTCCACCTGTCCCCTCGGAAATCCAGGGCCTCTCCTTCCAGAGTGGGGAGGATGAGTGCCACTGGCTTCGCATGGAAAGGTGGGAATTTTAAAAAGTGTTTCTTTAAGGAAGGGACTTGGACCCACATCACCTCTCAGGACTCCTGCTTTGAGCAGGGGGCCACACACGGCCTCAAGTCACCGTGGTGTCTTTTATCTTGCTCAACACACTCGTAAACTCAATAAAACCATGGCTCTCGTTGGAACATGGGGGCTCCGAAAACACTTAAGACCAGTGGCCAGTGGAGACAATTATGCACATAGTCATCACAGAGTGCCACGTCCCTCTCCGTGTGGCGTGTCCTCACTGTGTGGTTGACGTGTCCCTGACTCAGCCAGGCCCGGCCACACCCAAAGAACGCCAAGCCAGGCCCATGTATTTGTATTTCAGAAAGGGCCTTTGACACCCTCTGCAGGGGTCCCACGCATTATTCATACCAACACTCCTGGACTGAGAATTTGGAGGTTCTGCTCCCGGGATGGCACTGTATGTGGCCATCTCGAGGGCTGAGGTGGTGGAAGCTCCTGTTGATGGCTTCATGTGTGGGCCACTTGGTGGGAACCTCCGGGGGCAGGAGTGATGCTTCTCTTCCCTGGCTATTCCCTTCACCCCCGACCCCACTTCCTCCTTTAGAATGCCCTGTGATGCATGACTGCCCCTATTTCTGAGCCGCTTCCGACGTTGCCCTTCTGATAATTGAGTATGGTTTCTTAGGCAATTTCAGTGGTGTTGCCACAGTCATGGGCTTGGGAGTCCTTAGGCCATTTTAATCTGTTTCAAATATTCTAACTCCTGCTCGCTCAATGCCATTGGTTACAGTTAACCGCATGGCATCTCAAGGTGTTTCAGAAAATCCCTCTTCCTCCTACTTCCTTGGATGGGCCACCGGAGGGTCCTTATTGCCTCTGGAGGAACAAGTGGTGACATTCGAATCCACCCCCATCAGAAAGACCAAGCTTTCTTTCTCCTTCTCCCCCTTTTCAGCTGTCTCTCTCTGTCTTGGCTCTTTCTTCCTCTCTCTCCTCCTCTGATGAGCTACTTCCTTGTCTCCATCCAGAGGCCCCCACAGTCACTGCTGGGCTGCAGCAGGGATGTTGCTGACGAGCAGGAGGGCCAGGCATGGTGCAGAGGGCCCAGCAGCGAACAGCCCCGTTGGGAGCAGGGGAAGGGGCCGGCCAGCTCTGGTCCCTCACTCCCACTGTCCTGGTCTCTTGCTCCTTGGGTGATCCAGGCCCTTGCCTGGCTGGTCCAGGTGCTGAAGGTACTTTCAGAAGCAATTATAAGAGAGGGGACTGGCCAGCTCTTTGGCAGAGGGAACAATGGGAGACGTCATGGTGCACGCGTGGGTTGATGTCCCAAGTGTGTGACCTTGGAGAGGGTCTCTTAGCTCTCAGATTTTCAGGTTTTCTATTTTTAAAATATGGGTAATAATTACATCCCTAGCAGGGTTATGGTGGGAATTAAAAGCAATGTCTGTGAGCTGCTTGGTGCATAGCGGGCCCCCACTAAATGGAGCTCCTTCCAGGACAGTCTGGACATCAGGCCTGTCAGCACTTCTTGTCGTCATGTCCTCTGGGTCTCATCTATAAAAGCTCTTTTCTCACGCCGTACAGAGCAGTATGGCTGCATCCAGAATGTGGGTGGGTCCTGAGGAATGTGCACTTACTCAGTGTACTCGTCAGATGCTCGCTCTGCGTGTTGAGTCCACGCACAGTCGACTCTCGGTATTCACTGTGCTTCTGGTCTGTAAAATCCTCAGTGCTGATTTAGCGAGCCGTGAACCACTGCGATTGGGGGAAATCCAGATCAGTTTGCTGAGGGCCTCTTGCCCACGGATCGGGACGTGATGTTGCTGGCTGGGTGTTTCTGTTTAAAGACATCTTATTTGATACATATTGTGATTCATGCATTGCACACATGACCAACAGCACTGTCACTCATGTCTGAACGAAGCTTATCTTCCACACATATTCTCTCTGCTTGGCTTGTCACAACCTGTCACCCAACTATGCCTGGGGACCATTTAAACTGCAAAATCCCCAACAAAAAGGAAGAAAATGCAAAAATGCGATACTAAACAGCCCACCAAAGGACAATTATTTATGGTCGAGAGCTGAAATGAGTAGGCAGAGTGTCGCCTTGTTGGACCCCAGCTGGGGATGTCTAGGTTGGACGACTCAAATTTTCACTGCTCTGCGCCTGCACATGCCAGCTAAAGACCATGAAAGCACCAGGAGCGATAACTGTGGAGTCGGAAATACATTCGAGTGAGCAGGCGAAGTTGCCAATAGGGCATCCGTGAGTAATCAGGAGCTGGTGCGTATTCCCTCAAGGTATTAAATATTCATTGTATATGTTTTGGAGATGTGGTATATATGCATAATAACCCTAGCTGTTGCTTTGGGGCTCAGAGGACCAGCCCCTCTGCTGATACCCCCTCCATGCCCCCTTTGCCTAAAGAAGGAAGGGGAGAGGCCACACCCGACCTGAACCTCCATGGGCACCTTGGAATTAGGGAGCTGCCATAAGTGTGCACATATCAGACCTGCAATATGCATGTATTGCCCCTATGTTCTCTAATGATTTCTGTGTCAAGGTTACTTCCTAGCTGTGTGGCCTTGGGCAAGTTATGTGAAGTTATTTAGATGTTTTGTGCCTCACTTGACTCATGTGCAAAGTGGAGGTATTAAGGTAATGCTAGTTTTTGTTATTAGTGATACAGACATATCCCGATCGTCCAGGGAGAAAAATGTGGTCTCGTTCAACTGGGTTCCCAATTATCAGCCCCTCCAGGATCCCACCTGCTCACACAGGGAGGTCCGTCCCTGCCAAGTGCCCTCCTCGGGGGTCCTTCTGCGGCCCTGGCTAATGCTGTGGTCCTACTGGGCAGCAGGCCCCATTTCAGGCTGGAACTCTGCGGCCGCCTCCTTCTCAAGAAGACCCCGGGAGTGTGTGCCAGCCAGTGGTGTTCCAGTGCGACGGGGAGAGGCTTCACTTCCTTCTTCCCACACTTGGCGGGGGGCCTCTGTCGGGGGTGCCGAGCCTTAGGGCCCCATGGCACTGAGAAAGCAGCTCTCTGTTCATGTGGAAGCAGAGTTCCCTATGCAACCCATGAGGCCAGTGCTTCAGAGCCATGCACCCAAGAGGATTCGGCATGCTTCTCTGGGGTCTGCAGGGCCGTGAGCAGCCCCTGTCCTCCGGCTGGCGGGGGCGCCGCATGGGGCGGGCGTCCTGAGACACGTCGCCTCCCACTCTCCTCAGGCAGGCTGGCTCAGGGCTGTGCCCACACACAGGACCACCACCCCCGCCAACCTCTGCCTTGCCCCATGTCCCAGACACCCCTCCCCGCTCGTCAAGACCCTTGCTAGCCCCTTGCGCCCTCCCTTTTTCACAGCCTTTGTCCCTTCTCTAAGGCTCATCTTCATTTGTGCAAACAGTTGTGGAAAGTTTCCAGCACGTTCCTGGGAGCTTCCTCAGCTTTCCTGCGACCCGAATGGATGGGGAACGGAGGAGTCTCCTCACTCCACAGCCCCTGGAATTGTCCGATCACGGCTCCAGCCTAGCCAGGCCCCCTGGCAGCTCAGACACTGACGTGTGGAGGTGCAGATACGCATCCAAGCATCGGATACCTGTGCCAAGGTGGCTCTGGGGCTAGGTGACCAGGTTTCCACAAGGTCCCGCAGGTGTCAGCTTCCATATTTATTTTCTATGATTCAAAGAGAGCTCAGTATTTAATGTGTTCGACTTCAATTTAGCACAGTCAGAAATGTGGCTCAGAGGAAGGCGGGACCATCGTATTCATCTGACTCAGGACACATGGCTAATGAATCTAAGGTGTCTCCTCCATGAAGAACCTTCTGAGGCCAAGGATGCTCACGCAGCTGTGTCTGTCCTCCAGTGCCCTCTCCTGGCCAGCGTGGGCACAGACCTCCCCAGCCTTCACCTGCAGCCTATGGGGCAGAGGTGGGCAGCCTCTTATCTCCCAGGCAGCAGAGATTGGGCATCTGACAGTACGGGCGTAGCCTCCGAAGGTCAAGAGATCAAATTCAATAACTACTGTAAGTTGTGGAATTTCTTATAAAGTCGGATCAGGCTGAATTTGTTGAAATGGACTCACAAGGCAGAGATTCTGCATTCAGCGTTTGCTGGGGGAGTTAGAAAGGGCTCCCTTCCGGCTTGAAGGTGGGCGCCTGCTGGCCGTGCCCTCCCACGGCCTTTCCTCGGTGCGCGCTCACGGAGAGAGAGAAAGCTCTAGCCTCT